TTTTTTTCAGACATTTTTCATCAGTTTTCAAACCACCCTATAAATTTAGTAGAAAAATATTATCAGAATCTTACTGATAAGAAAACTAACTTTCAGAGTTTTGCAAAACTTAGGCACCTTGTGCTCTGTCAAAATGCATAGCTTTCTCTATCCTGAAAAACAGTTTACTTCATTGCTTTGATTTGTTTATTTCATATCACTTCATGTCATTAAAGTTGAACTTACTATGTAATTTCCCAACTATTCTTTAGACCTTTAGTGATCATACCATTAGAATCCATTTGTATTTATTAAAGGGAAGTGTTATGAATTGGCCCTTAAAGGGCCATGTACAAAGGCTTAGTTGCCACCCTGTCATGCTATTGGGAGATGGTGGAACCTTTAGGAAGTATAACACAGTGAAGGAAGTTAGGTCACTGAGGTTTTGTTTGTTTGTTTGTTTGTTTTTAATGAGTCAAAATAAACCTTTCCTCTTCTTTGTTGGTTTATCATGGATATTTTGTCATAGTGACAGAAAGCTGACTAGCACAGGAAGAGATACTTATTTGTAATTAAAGTACGTTAACTTTTTCATCTATCATGAATATTATATTGTTAAGAAGAAGTAAGAAATGCCCTGAGAAATATCCTGTTGTTACTAGGAATTTGACAGTGTGATACACACACATATGTACAATAAGTAAAAAAATTATACATTTATGGAAGATAATTTGTATAATTTCATTTCTAATATATGTCTCATATATGAGTACATTTTGACCTAGCTATCCTATTTATAGGAATATACAAGTAAAATAATCATATATATGTTGGAGTAAAATGCTTTTCAAGGATGACTGTGATTTAACAAAAAAAAGTCACAAAACAGTAACATTAATATATACCAATATATATTGTATATTTCTATATTTTATTCCAAAATAGAATTAGCATATAATCCAGAAATACCACTACTAGATACACACACATACACACATGCATGCACATATATATACACATATAGACATAAATATACATACTTAGGGATATAGTTATACAGCAAGTAGAAACAAATGCACTAAAATACATTTAATCTTTGTTGAGAAATTTTACTTTCTAATATCATTTCTAAATATTAGCTGATAAAATATCTCTTTATTTTAAGGAAGGGAGAAAGAAAGTAAATATAAAGAAAAATAAGCCTAATTTAACTCTAGTGCACTACCTTTATAGTGGCTTAATGAAGCTCTCAGAAGAGTGAGTGAAAGAGATACAAAAGGACTGATAAGACTGAGATCTGATTTTGCTCAGGAGAGGTGAAATATAAAAGACAAACATGGTTCATCTC